CTTCTAATACACTCTTTTTTAAGAGTGTATTTTCAAAAAGTGGTGTATTGAGTAGATGTAGTGTATAAGTGACACTGGGACAGCTGTATAAGTACATATCTTTCCTAAGAAAACTGAAGGAAACTAGGTTCAGAGTAATCACGTTAAAAAACTTTTTGCATGCTCTTTTTTTATTCTGAGTAAGAAGCTACTTAAAAATTAGTTCTGTCTGAGCATCCGTTGAAAAGACACCAATGGCTGCACAACAAATCTGTCTCCATTCTGAATCAATTTTACAATTTTCATTAAAAAAATGGTGTTAAATTTAAAAATGAGATTAGGTCCCTTGCTGTTTGTGCACTGCTGCTAGCTACTACAGATCAAACAAGTGCATCCCCCTGTATTTTAGTGAGGTTTGCATTTGTGATAATAAGGTAAGAGTAAACTAATAGGGAGCATTGAGGTTGATTTTCTGCTTATGTGCAAATAAGGAGAGTAAGATACCTTCACTCAACTCTGGAAACTTATTAAATGCATGATTGCAACAGTTTGGAGTAGCTGCAAGTAATGATATGGGTTTGAATAATTGAATAATTATTGAATAATTCGAATATTTGAATAATTAATAAGTTTAATAATAATAAAAAATTGAAAAATTAATAACTTTGAATAATTTAATAAGTTTCAGAACAATCCAAAATAATAAAAAAACCCAACACAGCCAGAAAGCAGAAAAACCTGAACCCACAAACCAGTAGCCTCAGCACATGGACCTTGCTTATCAGACCCATTTCAATTTACTTTGTGGTTGTTTCTGTTGGTGAACATAAGCACCAGCTCAATGTTTGTTGGTCGTTGTAATGCTTTTAGTACACTGCTGTTAACTCCTACTGAATCCGGTACTGCTCTTTGTCAAAAGTGGAGGGAAGGCTACCTGAATTAACCTGGGCTCTACCAATGACAGCACAAGATTAATTTGGCAGAAATTTCCTACAAGGAAAGTTCATTATTCTGCAACAGATGTAGTGCAGTGAACATATAGCCTGAATACTAAGAGGGCTCAGTGACAAGCTTTGCTTCCTTCTTGGAAGAGCTTGGTGCTAGGGGTGCTGGGCCTCAGAAATGTCAGCATTGGTCAAAGAGAAGATCAAACTGAGAATCAAAACTGAAGAGGGGTGGTTGGTTGCTTAAAATTGCCTCCTTGAATATAAAACCTGCTGTGTGAGTTCTGCTGTCTCATCTGCTGGGCCACCACTTTCTCATTCTTGGAAATAGCTGGCAACTAGTGGCTCTAAATGGGGAGTAAATGGCAATGTTTGAAATGCAGTTATCTTCCATTAGGCTTGCCTCATGTCTTCACTAACCTCTGTGAAGGATTAGGATGTTAAAAGATACTAAATTTTGATATCTACTGTTTATTTCTGGCTATGAGGCTTGTCCTTGAGCTTTTGTGGGTGTCCTATATTGTAATGGTTTGGTTTCATGCAGGCTCAAAGAATGCTAAAAGGATTAATCTAAAAGCCTGTCTGAACAAAAACCAGAAAAAACTGTTTGTGTTGAGCAGAACAGATTTTTCTGCTCCATGCATCACATTTGATGTCAGTTTAAATATGCAGGGATTTTTTTAACCTTACATAAGTCGGAAGTGTGAGTTGTGCTTGGAGTGTCCACAGATGAAATTAATCTAACATCTTTTCCAAAGGAGACTGTCTTACAATAACTTACTAGAAACAGTGAGATTTGTTGGAAGCAGCAGCTTTAACAGTTTTTTGGGTTTTGATCAGTTAAGTTTTGCTAGCTAGAAACTGATTGTGCCTAATGTCTTAATTAACAAAACACAGCAGAACGTACCTGTAACAATCAGAAGATGCTAACATTGCGTACAATGTCAGCATAATTAACGCTTTTTAAAATACATCATCTGTTCAGTTCCATCATTTCTCTCATTGTCAAAATTTTACTTGATTTTAGTCAATTCTAGGTGACTGAAGATGATTATATTGCCCTACAGGAACCAAGAACTCTAGGAATTGTAGCCTTTTTTATTTTTTGCTGTGACAAATAACATCAATTTGAGACTCGTAAGAGGAAGGAAAATAATGTCTATAATAGTGCCCCAAAATGTAAAAATTATTTAATGACAAGTATGTAAAGTTGTCAAGGTAGCAATGAATTACAAACTGCTAGGTGTAATTTCCTGGTACAACTAGATCAAAATATACTGCACTTAAGTGGTGCATTTGTGGAGTCTGTGCATTTGTTTTTTTGGAGAAAGATTCTTAGTTTTTCATTAATAAAATAACATTTTTAATTCTTCAGCAGTAGTGAAAATGTCACTGCACTGCTGATGGCACAAAAGTTCTATGTATAAATACAGAGAGAGCCTGTAGGTGAATGGAGAGGAAGTGGCCACCGGACCCAGTTCCCAATCTGATTAAAAATGTGAGAACATCTAACTCTTGGCTCCATTGGAATTAATTATTTCTGATTTAAGCCAACATATGAAGGGACTAACCTTAAATACTTGCATAAACATCTATTCACTGTGTAAGAATATTTAATAGAAGAGAATAGAAACATCAAAGCTTCTAATCTGCAGGTGTGGCTGTCCTGGGTTTAGCAGTAGCAGTAAACCCAGGACAGTGGCGTTACATACAACGGTCATTAGAAGAATCATGCCTTCTGCTGTGCCGCTATTCCAGTTTTCCATTGTCCTGTTTATGACCAGGCTAGCTCAGCAGCTCTCAAACAGGAGGACACACAGTTCCTCTGTGGGCAAAACTCAGGTTGCTTCGCCTAAGCAGACAGCCCAAGGCCATGCAAAGCAGTTCTTACCAGTTTTTTGTATGTTATTTGTATTGAGTCAAACAGAGACTCTGATGAGTGACCTGTGCTCACCACAGAGATTGCTAGGACACAATCTGCAGCAGGAAAAGGGAAAACAGGTTCATCCATGGGCAGCAGCTGTTTAATGGGAGACCAGAAAATATGTTCACTGAGCAGAGTGGGAGTGTGACAGGAAAGACATGCTTGATCAAGGACTTCCTGGAAACAACAGTGTTATGCAGGTCAAGACACAGGTCTTACACGTATTAGCATAAATTTGTGCATGTGGATGAACATGTGCATGGTGTAGCTTGCTGCACAGTTTAAATATTGAAAAGCATGACAATCTATCATTTGCTTTAAATGCTGAACTAGACCCATTGCTGGTGGAAGATGATGAATTTCATGAAGACCTCTGCTGATTTGCACAATCTCCCCTCTCACATTTGAAGTGATTGTCCCAATTGTTTTGATTCTTCAGCTACATTAGCTATTCTTGAATTTCCAGGATAGTTCTCTGTATCAAGAGCTTATAATTTATATATATTTTTAGCCACAGGTTTTAAATGTAAATAGCCAAGATGGGTGTTCCTAAGCTCAGGTAAGACCAAAACGTATCTCCTACAGTCCTGCAAGCGTCTATAGCAGTGTATTATGGTGTGTGGGTATGTAGCACTTTTACCATTCCCAGCCTGATTTGGTTAACACAGACCTGTTTCTATCAAGTCAGAAACAGACTGGGCTTAAAGGGAGCTCTGCCCTCTTCTTCTCTTTGCCTTCTTCCAAAAGAACAAACCAAAAATTAGAGACAATTTTTACTGTTTAGGAAATTAACACTTTTTAAAAAACAATTGTTTGTACCTGTCTCTAGAAAAAAATAAACTTTTAAGCAGTGGGTCTTCATGTGCTTCACTGTATCTCAACAAGAAAAGAAGGTATCTGAGAAGATGTTTCTTTGGTAGGGTAGGGACAGCCAGCCAACCAAGGCAGCCAACCAAGTTGTCATCTTTCATGTTTTGTTTCTTCATTCATTGGCAGATGTCTGGGGAACTTAGAATCTCTGTAAATTTGCAAAGTCTCCCTTAGTTGCCCCCATCTGAGATTTTTCTTCTTGATAAATACAGACAAAGAGAAGTGAAGGAACAAAGTCTCTCTGAGCCAAGAAAAGGAGTAAGGGATGGAGCTTTTCCTTCACTCGGAGTAATAGAAATAGTTGATGCTTTTTCCTCTTTCCCAGCACTCCTTTCCCAGTCCACCTGTTTTGCTCAGTCTCTTTGGATTAATGACCAAGTGACAAAACTGTACAAAAGGCATTTTGTAAAGCAATGCTCATGCATTATACTTTTTAATGAATTTTATTTTTAATTTATACCAGGCTTTTTAAAATGTAGCATAACCACAAATATTTTTCTAGAAAAAATGTGCTAGCTTATTCTTTGTAACAGCCATTAATATTAGTTACTAGACTGAGATAAAGCAGAAGTTCTTAATGCTTGCTATTTAAAAAAATAAAATAAAAGCAGAAACTATTTCACTGTGTTATGCAGCACTCCTGTTTCAATGGAGTCTATGCAGACAGATTCTGACTGGCCCAATGTCGCTGTCACCTAGGATCTCATCCTGCAAAACACTAAGCAGTGCAGACCTCCAGTCATCATGGTAGAAGTAAGAGCCATCAGCCCACTGCAGCATTTGGAACTTTCAACAATCAACAGTAGTATGAGGCAATAGAAAATTTGATCTTGTATGGGAAGGATTGGTTTCTCTTTTCGCTTACAAAGGTATTCAGTTAATTCATTTTTGTATATTTATATGAAAGGTAAAGCAGAGCCTTCCTTAGTAGCTCAACACTCACGCTGATTTTAAATGACAGAAGGCTCAGCTACCTTGCGTTTATCTACTGGCTGTGTATGACTGAAAGTGTTATGTATCATTCTGACCCCAACATGCAATATACGTATCTATTAACGTGAGGGTCAACTACTATTGCATTACTCTGTAGCACTGGTTTAGAACAGAGTTTAATTTTTAGCTAAAATTTCACTGCTCCCCCACTAACATGCTTTTCTGAAACCAGTTCTTTTCCTAGAGGAATTTCACATTAAAGCTTTAGGAATAGAAAATCGTGTGAACATTTTCAAATATTTGAAAACAGTAATAGAAAGTTCAATTCCTTCTAAAATAAACACAACATCTGAAGCAGAATAATATTTTAATAAAATTAAATCTTAAGTATTCACAAAGCATTATGCACATACGGTACATACTGTATTCAAAGCCTATGGACCTTAAATCATTTTATTCTAATGTAGTCAGCTTTGGACACAAGCTAAGCTTACTCATTTTGTAATAAGAAAGTTTACAGTTGTTCCTGAAAGTGATTTTACATATATACATATATATATCTCTATATATCTATACTCCTACATATAAGTGTAGGTATAAGCACACACTTGTGTGTATGTGTGTATATAGAGTAACGTATACACATATACACACGTGTGTATAAATATATACGCACATACATACACACATATGTACATATATAAAATACACACATGCACACATACAGGAATGTGTGTGTGGTGTATGTGTATCCACATACCTATATACTCTATCTAGGATCATTGTGGAGGGGCCAGTCAGTAAAAACAGGTAACTGCAAACAGCCACCCTCATAATTAGAAATCAAAAATGTGTAAAGTATTTTTTAATTCAACAGACTGTTAATAATTTGTATGAAACAAAAGGAACACAGTCTTCTGCATTATACAGAAATGACATTTATTGCATTTGATTATGTTTGTGTGACAGATGAAGAGTTCCTGCCTGTTTATGGCAGCTAACTTCTGTGATGCAATTAAAAATAAATAAATAATAAAAAAAGGGAAACAAATTATTCAATTCCTGCAGTTTTGTGGATGTGATCTACAGTGATTCTTTCGAGCATGTGGCAGAGTTTTCCTGTCTTTTAAAGTGCTGCTCTACTTCAACTGATTTGGAAGCAGGCTGGTTTCTCTGTCCTAATTGTTTTAAACCTAGAAGACTGGGTTACCTTCTTTTTTCTCTAGGTTCAGAATCATTGTGATTGACTGTAAAAAGCTCACTACAAGAAAGATAAATTGATTTTCAGAACTGAGCTAGAAGAAGATTTTGCTTGAATTTTAGCTTGGTCAGGAAGGAATTTTTCTATGTGAATTATTGTTATTGGTCTCCTATTTGCTCTGAACACATATCCACAATATAATACTATTTCCATGACAGCAGTAAATGGTAATATCCATGCAACGTAACCTGTAATTTCAGAACATGCATGTTATTAAAAAAAAAAAATAAGGTGCCTTGAGAATGCTGGCAGTTTTACATTTGGAACATACACTTAGTGTGTGTGTGTGTATATATATATATTTACATCAGAACTGCTCAACTTTACCTTACAAGCTTCAGATTTAGGAAAATATACAGTACTTTTGCATATAATGGTATATTCCTTGTAGCCCCTGAGTCAAGTATAGAGGATTTAAATACAAAAAAAAAAAAAAAAAGGAAAACCAGCCATTAAAAGCACTTACATTTTTATGTGAACTAATAGTACAAAAGTATTATTTCCCAGGAAGACCAGGATCAGAAACATGCCTATGAAGACTCAAAATTCCTACAGTGGTTAGTGAAGATTCTGGCAAGGAAGGATGCCTAATTGGCTGGAGATAAGTTTTACAGTGCTGTGGGGGACACTCTACAGACTGGTCACGTTCTTGGTCTAAAAGAGAAGCCAGGTTGTCTTCTGAGGCTGTGTTAAGATGCACTCCACTTGAGAGGGATTCTTTGGATTTAAGTTTTGTTTTTTCAAGGTCTAGAAATTCAGGACACTGGAAGGGAGAAGAAACAAGATGGTAATAATTAAATCGGTCTCTTCAAGGCTCTTGTTCTGCTCAAAATTAGCACATTCAGATGGTTGCTGGAAAATTGTGTTTGAACATTAAGCAATGTACTGAACTATTTTTATGTCGTACTGCATTTGATTTAATGTAATTGAGTGCAATTCTGTTGATTAATTGTAGAAGCCTGGATATATTGTCCCCTCCTCAGACTTCAAGATGCACATCAAGATACACAAATGAACTCCGCTTTCTGATGGACTGAATATTCTTGATACCTGATCTAAGACTATGGATTTCAACATTTATGAATATGCTGTTTTGTTTCAGAACATAACTCTGGAATTGCATCATTCTGAACATGATAACCATTTGGATTCCAGTCTCAGCAGCTGGTAATTCTTCACTCTCAAATTTGGAACTTGTGTGAAGTGTGCACTGTGCCTGCTGATGTTTGCAGAGGGTGGCCATATTTCTGTTCAGAGATACATGTATATGTTTGTGCAGGTATGTGCAGAGTGCACTTACCTGAAAACTATTTCTATACATCTGCTGTATAATCTTTATGCGTGTGAACTGTTGCCTTCTGGATGTGTTGGGCTTACAGTGCCCACGTGTGTCCCAGCATATGCATGAGGAATCTGACACAGCTAAGCACAATGGATTTACTGATTGTATGCTACATGACTGATTTGGGATTCCTAGACATAGAGCAACCTGTTTGGAAATAATATGCCACATCTCTGCCCAAGCTGTTGAACTTCAGCAATCCCAAACAAATCTGGAAAATCCAAATGTTTTGCCTGTACAGAACTGGGGTGGAAAACATGTAATGGGAAGCACAGGTATGCAATAGCTCTGTATGTTCATATTTCCAGCAGTATCAAGGGACTGGACATAAGAATGGTTTTAGCCCCTCACGCTTCCGTATGTATGTAACCATTGTGCTGCATCAGCTGGACTTGTCTGGCCTGTACCTTGAGGAAAACATAGTTGTGGTGCTTCCCAAGACTTCATGAATGGGACCTATAGCAGATGCACCATTGCAGGCAGGCTGATACTTGGAAAATGTCTGTGCTTCACAGCTGTGTCTAGTATTTATTGTTTCTGCTAACTTTTGTGAAGAGCAGGAAAATAAAGTAAATCAGACTGATTATAAGATCATTGTATGATCTCTATAACCCTCATAGAAAATGTGGCCTCTGAAACTGTGTCTCTAAGTCCATTGTGGAGATGCTAGATCAAAATATTAATTTCATATTGCTATTGTACTAGTTCATTTAAACTAGTGAACAAGCACCTAGATTGGCACACATTTCTTCCATCATAAGCTAAAAAGATCAGCAAACCTGTTTTAATTTTATTGGCTATGTACGTACCTGAGATGAAGGTCTGAAACTCCTGTCTGTTTTAATTGATGCTGCAGGCTGAAGCTTTTGTATTACCCGGATTGCTGGCTGTTGGTACTCTGCACCTGCAGTCACCATGCTATAGGCAGGTGGAATGAGTGTTGTCTGCCTTTGCAGAAGCTGCAGGATGGTTTGGATATCGGCAGTCATTTGGGATTCAAGCCTAGAGAAGTATTACAAAGTCAGTTAACTCATGGTGAGGAGTAGGTATATTTAAAAATGCTGATTACAGATGCATTCAAGAGAGACCTGCAGTTTATTAAGCAAACTATCGCTGTGATGACATGACCATGTCTTAAATAGGAAAGAACAGAAGGGGGAGTATTGAGCCCTTCCAAAGCTTTCTGTTTCCCTTTCCTTTGCAGAATGTAGCTGCATGCTTGTCTCTGATCTTTTTGCTACATCAAGAATGAGTTCATTACTGTCCCTTATGTTTGCAACAAAAAGTAACACTGGGCACCAGGGCTTTGGTTGAAAGAAATGTACCTTCTTCATTGTAAATAACTTGATTTGTACTGGCTGAGGATGGGACACTATTTGTGATGCATCTGACAGTTCTGACATTCCCAATGCTAATACAATGCACCAAAATAAGCAGAAAACTACATTTGTGTTTTTCCACAGTTAGAAAATGAAAGATGCTTTCAAGATCATTAAAAGAAACAACAGCCCAAGTCTCCTTACTGTGAAAATTAATTCAGACTTATTCAGTCCTCAGAATTAACATCAACATTTCTGATGTTCACATTTAGTAGCTTTTTCCTCTTTTCCTCCCTTTTCATAAATATATGTATGGCTTCTGAATCACTTGAGCTGCTCATACTTACAATTGTTGTATGTTCGTACCTGCAATTCCATAGCACTGAAATGATTTCCAAATGGTCTTGCCAAGATCTGTGACAAACTCAGAAATAGGTAATGCCTATTGTGCCTCCCGGCTGCTGGAAGGCTACAGAACATGCTATGACAGACTGTAATAGAGATATGCAGCCCCTGTACTGCAACTCATCTTCTGGCAGAGTAAACAAATCTTTGTCAGCAGTCTTTAATGTGAGTGTTACTGCTTGGGCTCCCTACCAGCAGTAGAATTGATCCCATGCTGACAGATAGTTGTTTTTACCAGGTGCTTCACTGATATTTTTTTATCATGTTGCAGTTGCCCATTGCATCTGTCATTTATTTATAAAAGCATCTCTGAAAGCTATGCCCAAAGGATAGTAGAATGCTGTTACTTCCTTTATTGTGAGAAGCTGGTTTTGTGGCACCAGCTCCCATAAAGAGAAGTCCAAATCCAGATGTTACAGTCAATCATGCCCTACTTGCCCTCTTGTTCAGTGCCCCTGGTTTCTTTGCTGCTTGCAAATACGCTGGCCTCACACAAGCATGATGCTGATGCCACAGAAGAAAATACTGCAGCAGCAGCAGCATGCCACCATCCATCACCTGTTAAACCTGGGCCTTAATATCTGAATGAGTAAAAGGGATTTAGCATTGGAGGACTTGCATCAATGATTGGCTTTGAAATAACTCTAAAGTTGCTCCCTTCCTATTTTGTTAGCACTCGGTAGTTTAAATCAAAGAATACCTCTGGTGGTCTTTATTTATCATCATTGCATACAGAACTCCCTTTCTCAAAGACTTAAAACAAGCTCATGTCATGCTACCCAACGATGAACAAACAGGAGAACCTTAGATGATTGGCTCACAGTCTCCCATGAAATTCTGATTGCTTAAAGGGGAGAAACAGAGAGAGCTCTAGTGACATATTCCTTATACAATGGCTTTCCAGCCATCTATATCCATTTAACAGTTTGAATGTTATGCCAAGCCTCTAAATTGGCATGGAAAATTTTAGGAAGAAGTGATCATGTTTTTTAGTCCATCAGGTCAGGTCTGACATAAACAGGAAATAGTTGTCTGCTACATTCATAAGAGACCCAGCAAGGCCCCAAATCCTGAAAGCATGAAAAGTTTTAAAAAACAGAGGCAGAGAATAAAATGATTTAATAAAATCAATAACAATTCAAATTTTAGTTTCCAGTAACTGTGGTATTTTCTCACTCAAGAAAATACTGAGAACTTGAATGAGAATTTGATAAAACTATGAGTAAATTTGAGATAAAACTTCAGTTTCAGGAGCTTAAGATTTCTGAGAAATGTCACTAAAAGACTACACACTGTTGGTGGGGAACATGCATCTGTTTATGTGACTTTTACATTTACTTAGATTACTTGACTTTACTGCAATTAGAAATTATATCAATTTAGGCTTGCATGTTAAAAATGTTTTTTTTTTAATGTACTATATAGTACTCAGAAGTGAAAATTACTATGGTTTGATTTATTATAGTAGATGAAGGAAGCAATATGCAGTTAACCTGGCTTTAAACTGCTAAAATATATAGCAAAATGCCAATGAAGAGCTACTACACTATAATTAGGGTTGAGTGCATATCACAGTATTTGTCATGGCAAAATACTGAAAGTAATGGAATTGCAGGGTTAAAATAAAAAAGCTACAGACCTGAGCATAGGGCAATTTAAAATTAAGTGAAATTACATAGTAATTTATCTTGTAGGATGGGTCAGAATTCTGTAACCATGTTTTTAAGATGCTGTAAGCTATGCTGCTTAGCTGCCAGGGAACAGTAGTATATCAATCAGAGAACATGTACTGATATGAACATATACTGATATGTTCTAAAGAGAGAAGGAAGAGGCATTATACTAAGCAAGGATAATAATGGATTCTGACACAGAAAGCATCTGTGTTCTGTTGTATAAGTGTGTATTTTGCCTTCATATACTCCTGTACCTTACTTATGATAGAGACAGTTGCAAAATAAGTTCATGCACCAAAAAGAGAATTTGTCTGTAATACTTTTTTAAAGGAAGACAGCTGTTTTACTTTGGGTATCCAGGGAAGAAAAAGTACCTCAGATATTGAAGAATACTGAAAATTGTCATTTTGTGGACATGTAAATATCTAGAAACAGCATTCTGGGTGAAGTAAAATTTAAATTTAACAAGACTAGGTGCCTCAGAAAGCTTCTTGGATAAAAAGCTGGTCTCCCAGAAAACAGTCAGTCAAGGAGAAAGGCTCTTCTGCAAGGCAATTCAAGGTAGACATTGTGAGTATATAGAGGTGACAAGAATATTCTGGCAATGAATTAAAAATTTTGTATCCAGCATTCCCAGAATAGGTTTTCCAAGAATCTGGAAGCCTGAACTTAGGTTTCTCAGAATATAGATAACAAAGTGATATTCCCATGAGTCAATTTTTGTACTTTTGAGCTTCTGAAGATCTGAATGCTTTTGGAAACTTCATTCATTCATGTGCAAATTCATTCATCCTGCAGTGTCATTAATATCAGTTGCATTACATACTCTCACACATATGGGTTTCTTTTTCTGGTCATATCTCTGGTTTTACCTGTTGAGTTGCTCTTGAAGTAAATCTAATCGATTCTCCACTTCCCCATATATGAAGTCACTTTCAGTTTCACAGATCCCCCATGTAACATGGGGTAATGCTGACTGAACTGGAGAGTCCTGGTACTCCTGGATGTTCTCTTGCTCCCAGGTTCTTTTATCAGTGATATCTGATGAAAAAAAAACCATACATGTTTATATACATGCTGTTAGAGAGGGGTTGGCATCCCACAAGCATCCCACTTACTCATGTTTCTCAAAACCTTGGAAGTCAAATTGGTACATTGGCAAGCTTCCTGAAAAGCTTTCTCTGTTCCTTACTGTTTTTAAAGAAAGACAAATGTGGTCACATCTATGATAACATTTTAAAGCTGCAGGTAACAGCTTTGTCTAGTCAGCATCAGAGTTTTGCCAAAGAAGGGTTCCTATTTCTTTAGTTTTCTATGATTTTACTAATGAATCTCCAATTTTCTCAAGGTGTTTTTAGCAATACATTAGTCATTGAGATTAGAAATATTTGTTCTAACCTAAATCCGTTAAATAATGTACTTGAATGTCTTTGATTGTGTGTTTCAGATGCCTGGCTAAGACTATAATATGCTACTGAAATATATTTACTTTAGCTTTTTGGTGTAAAAGGGGGACTTGCTGCATTGCATTTACAACACTGGGCATGCATTATAGTGCAATGAAATGCCTCCTCTAGAGAAATTTGCCAGACCTCAGCTAGCTGCCTTTCTTACCAATAACTGTAACACTGCTTGTCCTAAGGTTGGTGAAGTGTAGTACATTTTCTCTGAGACAGGGGCCAACTAGTGCAGCTCATGATGCTTGCAAGAGGATACCAATTAGTATTTTCAAAAAGGAAACTGATTTTCATTTAGCATTACTAGTCTCCAAGCCAGCCCTTGCATCATTGTGTAAAGCATGTCTCAGAGACTCTTACAGTACTGTGGGGTGAAAGGTGACAGTTAATTTTGTTTAAGAAATTGTGACTCCTAAAAGAATGAAATAGTCATCATTGCTGGGTCTGTCAGAGATCACTTTGATATTAAATGAAGCTTCATGGTAAATAATAATTCTTTTTTTTTCTTTTTTCTTTTATTTTCTGATTGAACTGCATATAAAATTTTGGATTAAGATGAAGTAAAAAAAAAACAAAAATGTTTCAAGCTAAAAATAGCCCAGTTACATTATTAGGACCTTACTGCAGAGTTTCAGCTATCTTGCTGAATTTAGTTACCTTTCTAATCCTTACATGTTGTCTATATAATATATACAGCATTTAAAATTACTCTTTATAGAAGTCATTTATATTTATTTCTATATTTCCAGCCATTTGTAAAACAATAATGATGACTACTCCAGGTCTCACCCTGTACCTCTTTGCCCAAATTCCATGCCTCTTGTCCCTCCCAGTTCTTGGTTCTCTGTGATAAAACACTGCACCTTACCACCCAAACAGAACTTGGGGACACTCCTTGCTTTTGCCTGGATTTCTGGCTTGAGCTATTTCTCCTTCCTGTTTCAATTTGCTTAATACACACCTCTGGAATTTTAATCAGTTTACATTCTTGGCTCTAGGCTGTTTCTCCTCTTCACCAAGCTGGAAAGGTTACAAATCATTTATCATGGGATATACTAGTTGTACATATCCCTATCAGACACAGAATGAAGATCTTGCTGTGAGTTTTGCAGAGCCTACAGGTAACACACAAGTTGAACAGTGCTTTTTCTACAAATACCCCTGCCCTAAGCCTTTGTTCCTTTGAGTCAGCCTCTTGTCATGCAGTCAAAAATTGCTTAGTGCCACTCAGATTCTCCTCTGCTGTGATAAAAGAGGTTGTTAAAGCTTTTAACACCTGCTCAATACAAATCCCATTACAGATGTATTTGTAATTATTTAACTACACAAAATTGCAGAATGTGTTAAAAGTCCTTACTTCCCTCAGGCTGCTGCTTCAGGATACAGCTGGAGAAAATCCTTGACTGCCGATAAAGTGTCAGCCTCTGTTGTATAAGCCATTGGATTTGAATCCCACAGCCCCAAGTAGTCCCTGATTGGTTTGCTCAGTGCTTCTTCTAACACTTGGCACTGTGTACTGATAACTCAGCATAGGTTACATTCATTTCACACTTGTGAAATTTTTCTAAGCAACCATAGCAGCCAGAGCCATGTTTCAAAGGAAAGAATAAAACCCACAGCGCAGGTGACATGCGAGAGGTTTGTCCAAATGCCATTAGCGGCTCCTTTTTGAACATATCTCTGAGCAGTGTTGCTCTAAGTAAAGAAATTAAAAAAAAAAATAAAACTGGAAAGAATAAGTCCTGCTCAGATTTAATATTTCAAGTAGGTTTAGCCAGGAAGGGGAGCTCTCACTACATGACTCCAACTGGAGGAGCAGACTTCTCTTTTTCTTGCTGGAGAATGGTACTTACTACATTAACTATTCTTTGGTAAGCAGGTGTAGAAGGTTTCCTGACGTTGTAAAGGGTGTTTGGATTTCATGTGACATGACCTATAACTGATTTCATGCACTGGGCAGAAGAAAGGGGAAAGAGATTTCACCTTGGCTGCACAGAAACCTGTTCAGCTTGTCAGCCACTTAAGCCAACAGAGACAAACGGCGTCACAAAAGCATGTAATACGGTTTTAGCAGGTACACATGGCGCAATTTGCAGTGTCCAAGGAAGCTGGAAAGCTGTTGGCAAAGTGGAAGGAACACACTGTGACAAATTCAGAGGTAAAATTTTAAACTATGGGTGTGGGTGCAATGATGTTGTAAATCCAGTGGACTTATATTTAAGCAGTGAATTTCAGGATTAATTAGAAACCAAAAATATAGGCTATACATTTCACTGCTTTTTACTGTCCTGTAAAACCCAAGTTTTTGGTTATTTTACACAATAAATAATAAAATAACATATTTTTCAATGCTGTGGATTATCCCAGAGGAAATCACAGCTGGATTTTGTCCAAGAATATGTATTTGTAGACTATTACAGTAAACATTTGATATGCGACAAAACGATAGGCACTGAAATTGTAAAATAAGTTCAAGCAAGTTAACATGCAATAAATAACAGTATCGTAAGTGTTCTAAGCATCTTTTCAGGTACCTCCACATACCTGAGTAGCCCCAGAAAAGCCCAATAGCAGTTTCAAGTTTATAACCAACTATTTTTGCAGGTCTTGAAGAATCATAGACTAAGAACTAGTTCATAAATGCATAAGTAGGTTCACAATTCAAGAATCAGTGAACTGATTATGACCAAATAATGACCAAGTGAAAATGGAAAACAGCATTTTTCTGCAACATATAGATTACCAACTCCAGAAAAATTATCAGGTCTTCTCAAAAAAGACATACTTTTTTAATGTTAAAAGTTGCATTTTAGGATTGTGAAAGAGAGGTTTATGCAGTTTCTGTCCACATTATACAATACATTATTAATAATCTTTCCAGTCATCAACAGTAATGACTGAAGCTTAAAACAAAACTAAAGATAATTAAATATGTATGTCACAGTGGTAGCTTTATATAAGTGCATTTGCATTCAAGATTTATATGGTACCATACTATATGAGGATTATAAACATACATACAAGCATAGTTTATTTCAAAATTGCATTATATTTATAACTGCCTTTATGGTAAGTTAAAATCAATCTCTAATTAACAGCAGGAGTAAGAATTTAGTTTAAAACATATATCAGTCAAAGCTGATCTTATTTGATTGCTATTCAAGTTTTTATGGAAGTTGCAAGAAAGGTAAAGAGCTTTCATACATATTACCAATAGTGCTAGATCACAAACATGAAAGAAGAATGTGGTCTTAATCAAAATACGTAACCTTTAGACATGCTAAATTTAGCTCAAACAAAATCTGCAATAGGTTGCCTTGGAAAACGTTGCTATAGCTGCAAGGACACATTTCTGGCTATTGGTAGGGGAAAGGTAAGCTTTCAAATTGCAGTACGTATGCAACAAGTTTAGGTGGTGCAGATTTATATAGCCTTAACCTGAGGAGAGCAGACTTTAGAAATTCATACCTTTGAGATATAAAAAAAGATATTATTTTGCCTGATTAATCATTAAGTTAATTTAAAACTATGGCCTAAATGCCTAAATGTTATTGAATGATGGTTAAATGGTTAAATTGCCTCAATGGAAACTTCTTGGGAAAACAGCATTAAGCAGAAAATATGTAATTCTTCCCTTCAGACTGAAACAATTACAAATGAACTTTCAGCAGTATTTAAATCATATATTAATCTGGGGCTTTTCATTAATTTCCCTTCACATTACTGAGCAAATAAATATTTTAGTATATTAGATGTAATTTTAATTATGTGATTTAACTCAATGTAATAATTTCTGATCATTTGTCATATACAAAAGCTCAAATCTTTGTTCCTGTGTTTTACTTATGGAAGTCAGGATTTGTTCTGTGCAATGAAATGGCACTCCTTTTAACCAACAAGTGCAGCAACATGGGATAACATCCTTTTAAGCTATTATGAAATTTTTTCCACTTTCACATATTTTGTTCTGCCTTGTCAATACAAAGAATTAAAGTAGCTACCCGAAAATATGTTTTTTTTTTTGTGCATATGCAGCTATCAAAAGGTTTATCTAGCTGTCATTAGCTGGATTTTTGCTGTCACCCAACCGTGGGACATCAAACAGCCTTTGAGGGATTCTTTACTGCTTTGATTGCACTTTTTATCCATGGGCACTGAACGAAGTCCAGAGCCAGATAACAATTTTAAAGAGTTTGTTTAAAGGAATTTCCTTAGATAGTTCAGTTACAAGATGATTTATTAACAGAGCCTGGAATAATCTTTTGGAGATTCTGTCATCCAGTCCCACAGCCAGTATGTTAAACTACATTAATCCTCTTAAGAAATAGTAATTTTTGATCTAAAAGATTTTGTCTTGTTAAACTTTCAGGAAACACAGAAGTAAATATTATGTAAAGACTCAACAGTAACATTCAGAAAAATATTTTTGATAATCAGACTGAAAGAGATGCCTACTCAAACTTTACAAAATAGCAATGGCTAGATTACCTTTGCAAGAATTGCTTCTTTTGTCAATAAGAATTTCTTCTGGGGCATGAACCATTTCTTCAAAGTCCACCTCTGTGGTTTTCTCTGTTACAGATGGGTAATCAGCTGTCCCAGAGAACAGGGGCTTTTGCTCATCTTCAATGGATGATACAAAAGATGATGACCCACTTTTTTTCTCCTCAAAGTGTTTCTTAACAGATTGATAGTATCTGGTGGTGTCCCCTGAGGGTTCAGGATCACTCTGATCATTCTCTTTGAAATAATCTGTTAAACAGAAATAATTGTGTACAGTAGTATGCAGTTAATGCAGTTCTAGTTTATTCTGGCCTGAGGTTAGAGATGATTATTATATCAGTTATGAAGTTCACCATCTATTAGAATAATTTAACAACTTTTTTGATTCCTGTATCAGAGGAGATTTGTCTTTCTTTTGAATTCCTAGAAGACATTTGCATCTATATTGTAAGGATTCATAGTCCCTAACCCATAACTCATGCAAAAAGTCACTTATATTAAAACAGCAAAGGTTTTATCCATCACAATCCTCCTGTTTACTCACTGCTTTTTCCAGATGAGTATGAGATTTGAGAAAGCTTTATATTCCAAATTTTTTAAAAATAATTTATTATTTCATTCCCTCTTCCAATTTCTCACATTCTTGGGCATTTCTCATAGTCTTGACAGGCTAACAATCATGGATGTCAGACTCAGTATCAGAACTACTCATTTAAATTATGCCCACATAAGAGCATCTTTGCTGATGATTCTTTTCCCAGAAAAGGCAAATGTATTAATCAACCACTCAACCTCAAAATGTTTGGGCCCACCTAAATAGAGAACATATTTCTCCATGCTCATTACTGTCAAACCGATATTTAGGATTGATGTGGTAGAAGGAAATCCTATTGGTACAAGAAGAAGGGGGTTTCTTGTCTGTGTTTGTGGGATAGTCTCAAAACAACTTTCCAAAGTAGGCCAAATTCCTTAGCCTTTAGAATTAATTGCAATTCTCTGAACATCCAAACTTTTGAATAAGTACATAACATGCTGTGATACATATGGAGGCAGAGTACCAATCAAGTTCAGAATTAATCTTTCATTGATCACATGCAAGATCTGTAATGAGGAAAGGCAAATTCAGTCCTCTTAAGAACTGGCAAATAAAACTAAGTTTAAAGTAGATGCCTTTAAAAGCATATTGTAAAAATTAAATATAACTTTAAACCAAGAATGATCATTTATGAATATGAAGAGCTCCTAATCTCTTTTCAGACTAAACTTGAAGCTAATTTCCAATTCAATATTTGGTTTTACCTACTTTTAACTGAAATGTCAAGATAATTCCAGTTCTGCTATTTATTTAAAACACATTTCAGCAGGGTAGTCTCAACAACATATAAATACTGTAACTAGTTTGCCTTAACTTCCTGGGGAGACAGCATGATTTCCCATCTGCTTTGTGCTAATTACTAATCAACACAGCTCTAGAATGTCTGTAGTCTTTGAAGCCTACAGCAGTGGTTAATACAACAACTAGTGTATTCCCTAGGTTTCTTCTCTGTTTTCTGGTCACTATAGGGAAATAAAACTGTGGCCTCATATAGCCCTCTTTATCTGCACATAAAAAGAATGCAGTGTCTGTAGAGAGCACTCTGCAGGAGTCCAGATATCTGTGAACAGTGAGGGCAGGTAATGAGGAACAAAATTAAACCAATACCAAAGCAGACCTCCTGTAATTGTACCATCTAGAGTCTCTGAGAGTAATTAACATAGCACTGGCACGAAGTGACTTTATTTGGCTTCTGTTAAGCAGGATTACTAGCTATAAGTGATACTGGTGGTACTCTGATACTGTGAAGGCATCAACACAGCTCTTGGGTTATGCTCTGACTGCAGAGTCAAGTACCGTAGAATCATAGAATCATGCCATGTTCTCTGCAATCCCATCTCCAAAAAAGTACAAAACCAAAAGAAAGCTTCATAAGAAAATTTTAATGTAGCTCTCTCCCATGGCTTTTCCTTTGGGAATATATGGTCAAATACATACACTCATGCTACAGTAAATTGTCTTAATTACTTACTGCTTGACTGACTTCAACCTGTGAAAAAGACCTTTTAATGAAAGCTTGAATTTTCCATTTTTAGGGTAATTTTTTATATTCATGGGATTTTGTGCACTAACAGAAGCTGTAATGAGTGCCCTGTGGAATACAAATCAATCAGTGGACCAATTTTAAGAGGAAGTCATTGAGACTCTAATGAAAAAAATTACGTAGCAGCTGAAGTATAGCAGACTGCCTTATCTGTCATATTCATAGAATACTAAAATATCTAGAAACCAGAAGCCAGATTCTGCTAACAATAATATTGCTGTAAAATCAACATAATTAAATCGATACCTCTGCATTTAATCTCCATCTATAACAGAACAAAGGAACATATTCTTTTCCAAATGCTGTCGAAGTATAAAGAACTCACTGACAACAGAAGGAAAGCAGAGATCTGTTGAATGTAGGGTTTTGCCTATTGAAATCAGAGAAGATTTGCTCATCAGCTGATCGATTTAAAAATATACATCTTTGGCTTTACTGCCGTTGCTTTATCTGTTAGCCATCTGGCTACATTCAGAGAGTCAAGTTGTTTTCCTTTTAAAAGACTCTTATTTAATGCTAATGATTCCTCTGTCTGGAGAATAATCCTGTGACACTCTGCACCTAGAGTAAGAATTAAAATAGAAAATGCATTTTTTATTTGGCTCTTCGGTACCTGATGATGGTGCAAGATCTGTACCTCAGCTTGACAGCTTAGCAGTGCCTCTGTAGCTCAGTGGGTATATGTTACAAATAATATCCACCTAGTGCTTAATTCAGAGTGTGAATTTCTCAAGTTTCTCCTTCTTCTTATAATGAAATCCAGTCACTGGTTTGGAATGAATTTTCCAGAAAAGAAGTGTTTTCTATCTGTGTATGCATGGATAAGTTTACTATCTACTACAGAGACTTCCAGGTTTCTGGCCTCTGACTCTGATTGCTAGAAACTATGTTTCGCTGAAGATGATTATTTTGTAACTTCCTGCTTTACCAAACATGTACAAACATCATTTACATTTTTTATGTGACTTATTTTAGCCTGATATGTGTTTTGGGCGCCTGCCAAGTTTACGGGCAATGTCTTCTGTTATTTGCTGTCTGCAAATTCCAAAATCTTCATAGTAATTATCAGAAGGTTTGTGCTCTGCTTTTCACACTTGCACTGGCAAAGGAAGGGAAGAAATGGGGTTGTCATGATGGCAATGAGATATAGCTATGACATAGACTCACAAAAATGCTGGCATAAAATCCAGGTTGGTGGGATGGTTACCAGAGATCAAACAAATTTCTTTTGTATGTCATGGTCAGCCTTTAGTATTATTTTTGTATTATTCAGACAGTGTCAGTCTGCATGGCCTTTTTCCTCTTAACCTATTAGTCTGCTGCAAAACAATATTGGTGAAAGTATCAGTAATGTATTACATTTGGAGCAGCATTGTCTAATATTACTAATATCATTAATCTGACTAGTTATATAGCCTAGTGTTCAGGAGGTGGTGAATTTTTACTCCCTTTTTCAGCCATCCAATAAAAAGTCCCATAATACGCCTAGACAAATTCAATTTTGTGCAGGAAATGAGGTGAATGACTTCCTCGCCCCTGCAGAAAAAAAAATATATCCCAAACCATGAAACATAATCCTTATTATGGATTACCATAATAAACCATGAAAGATAATCCTTATCATTAACATGATCTGCATAAATATAAATCTGTTCAGCAGATATGACATCTTCTCTTTCCTTCCAAAAAAGCTACTGTATTATTTTACATGACACCAAGTACATCCCTTGGTAAGATGAATGCAGACTGTGACCTGGAAGGAGGGAGGGTTGAATGCTCTAAAGGTCTGCAGGTCTTCAGACTCAGATTACCAGCATGTAATTTGGTTCAACTGCTATTAGTTCTTTCTTATGTGATATTCACAAATATTCCTGTGGTGCTCAAGCTGCCTTTCCTACATATGAATAAAATATTTGCTGGTCATCATGACTATTTGTAATCTGTTCTTTAATTTTTAAATGCCAGTTACCTTGTCAGAGAACAGGGAAATGCCTTATGTGTCCACCCGTGCATCACAGGGCAGCAAATATTTGGAATTAAAAGTGAGTAACCAAGCATTTTGGGTAGTATGTTAAATACAATACCACAAACAGGGTTGAAAAAGTGCAAAATCTCAAAAATCTCAAAAAATCAAAAGAAGTTGATGCACAACTTCAACACTGATATTCAGCCCATGCCTATGTTTTTCATCATTCAGATGGGGAGAGGCATAAAATCAATCAGGAAAAATGATAATCCTTATTTTTGAAATCACTGCTCTTCACTAAGTGGTGTAAAAACAATATAATCAACACACGGTATTTATGTTATGTCAAAAGTTACTGGTACTGTGGAGCAAGACCAATATATAATAAGGGGTGATTCCAGAGAAGTCTACTCAAGTTTTATACAGGTTCAACTACTCTATAGAATGCCAATCAGGGACTTTAGGATTATTAAACTGCCAATTAAGATGCTCCTAATTATTTTTCCTTGCTGTTTGCTTCATACTTAGTTGAATATGAGTGGTATGGATTACATCACTAAATATAACTGAGTGCCTTCTGATAGACTAGGTAATGGAAAAATATCAAAAAGAAGGAGGATGACTGCTTGTAAACATGAAAATGAAAAGCAACCCAGTGGCTGACCATTCAATAGATAACTGATGCTATGGTGAAGATAGATCTTTTTGCCATGTTTTTTATATATTGATGAATAAAAGAAAAAAGTTAATTTGCATTATATTATAGCAATGCAATGCACAGGCATCATGTCTGACACTTTTGTTCCTGTTGCCATCCTTTCTTTGAATTGGGTCTTTCTAATTGGGTCTCTTAACTGAATCTGCAATTAACATTTTTACTTGAAAATTATCTTCATGAAGAACCTTCCAATGGCAGACTTCAGAATGGATTTTTAATTCATAAATTTTGTGAACTCTTTATTGCTTAATTTTGGTGAATTTAAAATCTTCAGAGACAAAACTACACTGATTTGCAAAGTCTTTTGGGAAACAGTATGAAGAATTTTAGTGGATCTGTTTTCCTATGGGAGAAGGATATGAACTGCCCAATCTTTAAAAATGCATGACAAGCAACTGAAAAATTTTGGACTCTGTAGTTGTATGTA